TTTGTGGGACATTCAAATCCGCCATAAGACATGGAGAAAGATACTTAGTGACTTTCACTGACGATTTTAGCAGATATGGATATATCTATCTAATCAAGCATAAGTCAGAAACCTTTGAGGTGTTCAAAGAGTTTCAAAACGAAGTAGAGAACCAATTGGGCAGAAATATCAAGATGCTCCGATCCGATAGGGGTGGAGAATATTTAAGTCTTGAATTCTACGATCATCTTAAGAATTGAGGAATAGTTTCACAATTGTCTCCTCCCAGAACACCAAAGTTGAATGGTATGGCTGAGAGAAGAAATTGAACACTATTAGATATGGTTGGATTTATGATGAGTCGAGCTACACTTCCAATATCTTTTTAGGGGTATGCCTTAGAGACAGCCTCCCACATCCTAAACCTCATACCTACTAAGAAGGTTGCTAAAACACCCTATGACATGTGGAGTAGGACACGTCCTTCTCTAGCACATATAAAAGTTTGGGGTTGCAAGGATTTTGTTCGTCGCGAGGAAAACGATAAGCTTGAACCCAGATCAGAGAAGTGTTACTTCATTGGTTATCCACAAATTTCTTTTGGATACTTGTTCTACAAGCCTTCTGGGAACAAAGTGTTTGTTGCTCGAAGGGGATTCTTCCTCGAGAGGGATCTCATTTCCAAAGAGGACAGTGGGAGCCATATTGACCTAGAAGAGCTTCAAGAGTCAAGTGAAGAAGAACCTTTAGTAGACACTAGCACTCAAAATAAGGTGCAATAACCTATTGAGGAAACTCAACCTATTGAGGAACCTCAACTTGAGGCAAAGCAGCCTGTTGAACAAAATGATATATCTCTACCTCCTATTCGCATATCCAATAGAGTTCGTCTTCTTCTCGAGTTCTATGGTTTCCCTATGAGCACAGAAGGAAATGTATTGATCATTGATCATACATTGGTTAATATGGATGTGCCATCCAACTATAAGGAAGCGATGACAGGCCCTGAGGCTGCCAAGTGGAAGGAAAGCATGGAGAGCGAGATTCAGTACATGTATGACAACCAAGTTTTGAATTTGGTTGATCCTACACCTGACATTAAAATTGTTGGGTGCAAATGGATTTTCAAGAATAAGACTGACATGGATGGGAATGTGCACACGTTCAAGGCTAGGCTGGTTGCCATTATGAGGAAAACTTTTCACCACTATCCAAGATCAAGTCTATTAGGATATTACTTGCCATAACAACCTTTCATGATTATAAAGTATGGAAAATGGATGTGAAGACCACTTTCCTTAACGGAAAACTCACAAAGGAAGTGTATATGGCACAACCCGAGGGTTTCATAGATCCAAAATATCCAAATAGAGTGTGTAAGCTTGAAAGGTCCATATATGGACTAAAACAAGCGTCTTGTAGCTGGAACCTTTGCTTTCACGAAAAGGTCAAAGAGTTTGGATTTTTAAGAAGTGAAGGTGAGTCCTGCATATATATATATATCAAAGCTAGTGAGAGTATTATAGTCTTCCTAGTGTTGTATGTGGATAACATACTCTTTATAGGAAACGATCCCGGCGTTGCATGGTGTTAAGATGTGGCTTGGGAGTTGTTTCGCTATGAAGGATCTAGGAGAGGCTGCATACATACTTGGTATAAACATCTATAAAGATAGACTGAAACGTCTAATAGGATTGAGCCAGAGTACATACCTGGATAAGATCTTGAAGAGGTTCAAGATGCAAGACTCCAAGAAAGGTTTTCTAGCTATGCAACATGGCATCAAATTGAGTAAAACTCAATGCCCTAGTTCTAGTGATGAACATGATAGAATAAGCCGAGTCCCATATGCTTCTGCTATAGGATCCATCATGTATTCCATGACATGTACTCGACCTGAAGTCTTATTTTCTCTGAGTATGGTGAGTCGTTTTCAGGACAACACAGGCGACAGTCACTGGATAGCAGTAAAGAACATTCTAAAATACCTAAGAAGAACAAAAAAATATGTTCTTGGTATATGGGGGTAAAGATGAGTTGAGAGTTACATGTTATACAGATGCGAGTTTCCAGACTGATAGAGACAATTCATGTTCACATTCAGGATAGGTATTCGTGCTTAATGGACAGTCACTTGTAAGAGTTCCAAGCAGTCGACAGTGGCAGACTCTACGTGCGAGTCAGAGTATATAGTGGCTAGTGAGGCTGCGAAAGAAGCTACATGGTTGAAGAATTTCATTGATGATCTTGGTGTCATTCTGAGCATCAAGGATCTCTTGGAAATATTCTATGACAACGAGGGTGCAGTCGCATTGACTAAAGAACCCATAGACCATGGTAACTCAAGACATATACTAAGGAAATTCAACTATGTAAGACATTGAGTCGAGGATGGAGACATTGTCGTGAGCAGAGTATCGTCAAAAGAGAATCCAATCGATCAGTTCACAAAGCCATTATCAAGGATCAACATGATAGTCATACTAGATCTATAGGCATTAGATTTCCTGATGATATGGTGTAATTGTTAGTTGTTTAGTTTGACAATCTTTGAAACATTTGACAATATGAATTGTAACTGAATTGATGTTTATTTTGTGGAGACTTAATAAAGTGCTAGTGATGCTATCGTTTCTGTTAACTTATTATTGTTTTTTACTTTTGCATGTTTAGAACCCACTTCCTGAGTATTAATATACTCACACCTCCACAGTCGATCATACTCTTGCAAGTAAGTAGTGATTCAAGACTGTCATGAGTACTTAATGGAGATTTAAGTATCGGAACAATCTGCACTTAGAGATTACTTCATGGATATAGTCACGAGTAATTCTAAGATGATAATATCTTTTGTTCTTTAAACCGAGATACATGTGGGGGTTTGCTCTATGATTCTGTTATGTATTGGTATACTCCAACGCTATCCATAACTGGTAGCTATAATGGGTATATCCATGTATGACATGATGAAATAGACAAAACTTATGTAGTCAAAGTTTATTTGTCCTTTCCGCCTTAATAGGAGAAGCGATATATATGGGCCCCTCGATGATTTGGTGCTGACATCATAAATACCTGGCCGGCTCCTGACTGAAATTGATGTGTTCAATTTAGTGGTCGGATGCTGTCGACACAAGTCTCTATCGAGAAACATAATCTTGAATTGTGAGATTGACCATTATCCATGTCTTGAATTCATACATATATCATAAGGATAAAGGAATAGATTATCACTTATATGAGGGCTAAAACTAATTAGATCATAGTTCCGCATATGTATTGGATGACATTCTCTATGTTGATTATTAGAGAAGTATTGGACCAAATATAATTGATGACTTGTCCAAGTGGGAGAATGTTAGAAAGTGTGTCCAAGGTCATTAACTATTAGTGATATTTCTAATAATAACAGAGTCCTATTGGGTTGCCCTCAAGACTCAAATTAAGTAGAATAAATAATGGAAGAATTAGTTTATTAATTATTATAGTTTAATAGTTAATTAGAAACCAATTAGAAAACAATTTGGGAATTAATTAACAGTTTAATTAATAAAAAGGTTGAATATCGATTAATCAATAGTTGATTAATCAGGAATGTTCCAGAACCCTAGAAAGAAGGGTGGTGGACAAAAATTCCCTTTGGATAAGGGAAATTCCATTTATAGGGTTATCCTATCCCACATGGGCTTGGGGATAAAACCGTGGAAGGCATCCAAGACTATAAATAGGGCCTTAGGGATTCATTATTCCTTGCTCATTCTTGGCTTGATTTTTCGCCACTTCTTTCTCCCTTTGTGGAAGAAATCTCCTTACAGTTCACCCCCTCCTAGTTATTTTTTATTCTACTATTTTGAGTTCATTGGGTGTGAACCAAGAGAGGGATTCTGGTTTGGGTCCTGATCATCTAAACAAGGTGGCACGCACGAGAGCTCAAGCGTGAAGGTCTTTGGTTGAAAAAGAGGTATGTGATTCTTCCTTTGTATTTTCGATTTTTCTAGGGTAGATGTAATAGTATGAAACCATAGATCCATAGGTTGCATGTACACTTAGGTATATCGTAGTTTCGATTTTTCCGCTATCTAGTTTAGTGTGTATTTGATGCATAGAAAACCTAACAACATCTTCATGGCTGGCGCAAGATGCCTCCATATGGGGCAACATCAGTCATCATGGCGCAACATGTTGCTCTAAATTGGTCCAAGTGCTCCAAGTTGCTCCAAGCCACTCCAAGTTGCTCCAAACCACATTTTGAAAGATCCGTTTCTTTGTCACTTGATCTATTCCTTTGTTTGATAATCCATTCATTTCTCAGAAAATCCGTTCCTTTGTCATACGCTCCATCAACCCCAAGTGCTCCATGAGAATGCTCTAAATGCTCCATTCACATATAACAGAGATAGGGTAAAAGTAGGTGTGTGTATGTTTGTATGTATGCAATATGTTCATGAGTGTATGTGTGTGTTGTTTTTGAGTTTTGAAAAGTAACCATAAATCTCGATGTGTCAGTAGGAAGGGAGAGAAAAGGAAAGATAGAAAGAGAAAGAGATGGGGTGGTGTTAGATATATATTTCTTTTTGGTTTTTTAATTAAAAGAATAAGAAATTAGTTAAAAGAAAACAAAAAACAACTATTTTAGTGGGTCTTTGATCATTTTAGGTTGGTCATCAAACAAAACCACAAAAAATATCAACCATAAGGATTAAAACCACACATGATATATTATATCATTAGACCATTGATGTACCATTATTATTATTATTATTACCATTATTATTATTATTATTATTATTATTATTATTTTGTTTTGTTTTTTTTTTTTGTTTTTTATCTTTTCTTTTTTTGACCAGAAAGGCATATTTTACAATTATATTAACCATTTTTTGCAATTTGTTTTTCTTGTAGTTACAAAATAACATTTACTTGTAGGGTACAAATATCCATATCCAATTCAGGAATCGACCATTCATGGAGTCACCCGACCCATATCCAATAGAATATCTCCATCAGTTATCCGATCGCTATTCAGCGCCTCTCTGCTCATGGTTCTACAAACAGTTGACAGCGCGCCCTTTCAATCCCCTCTCTAAAAATCGAAATTGATGACAACAACAATGGCGAATCGTGGAAAAAACTAGGTTTTATGCACCACCAAAACGGGAATCAGTACTGAATTTCTCTTAAAATGGAATCAATTTCGTTATTATCATCGTCTTTGCACATTCACCTCCACCACAAAAACCTTATCTCTCTACACTTATCTTCAATAAACCCTTCCATAGTTTCCTTTCCTTATCGTTTTTCCACGTCGCCTTCACAGCGGTTATGTGCCGTGAAAACTAGTAGTAATGGTGGTGGCAGTAGCCAGCAAGATGGCACTGCTTACCGCGGCGCCGATTTTCTCAGAAAGCCAGTGGTGGAGGTGAACGACGACGTTATAGATTCTTCGAAAAGCGAGGATTCTGATTACGAAGATAATGGAGGGAAGAGAAGAGGGGAAGATGGATGGGTTGATTGGGAAGATCAGATTTTGGAAGATACTGTACCCTTGGTTGGTTTTGTTAGAATGATTCTTCATTCGGGCAAGTAAGGTCTTAGTTTCAACCTTTTTAATTCGTTTATATGTTCTGATTCTTGTTAATATTCAACATGAATTCAATTCCTCAATTGTAGCTCAACGATTATGGCATCTTCATTGGGGAAAACACTTATGTTGTGTAGTTTAAGATAGTTAAATCCTTTTATGAGATTCTTCCCAGTTAAATGCAACAAATTGAGTTAACAAAGGCTAATATTGTTAGCAGTTAGGTAGATACTGGAATTAGGGTTTCTTATGTACTTATTATTATGCTTTTAGGGTATATGAAATTGAAATCTCTGGCATTCTATCCATCTAATCTTTCGATGTGGAGGAAACATACTCTTAATCTGTAAGCTATATTGGGATGTTTCTTTTTTTACTTATGCAGAATGCAGACTTATTTTATAAAGAACCAATAAATAACTCAATTCATGATTTATCACTCAGTTGATAATATTTAGCATCTTCTGTATAATTCTACAATTTTAAGTTATGCAGATTCTCATTTTAACCCTACATTGAATTTATTGTTTTCTTTTTCAGATATGCAAGTGGTGAGAGATTAAGTCCTGAGCATGAGAGAACTATTCTAGAGAGATTGTTGCCACATCATCCTGAAAGTGAGAAGAAGATTGGATGTGGCGTTAGTTACATCACGGTTAACTTTCTCTCTCTAAATTTTTTTTTTTACCAATTTATGCAAAAATGTTTTATTTTATTTTTTTACCAAATCATGCAACCATGTTTCAACAGCTTGTTTCTTTTTCTTTATATTCACATTAAGTGCTGTATTGATGATGTGATGAACTGTGTAAATGTGAGTAAATGACCATTTTACCCTTATGTTTGTTCTCATTAAGTCGATTTCTTGTTGTTTACAGGTTGGTTACCATCCAGATTTTGAAAGCTCAAGATGTCTGTTCATAGTGAGGAAGGATGGAGAAATGGTGGATTTTTCATATTGGAAATGCATAAAAGGTTTGATAAGGAAAAACTATCCTTTATATGCGGACAGTTTTATCCTCAGGCATTTCCGAAGACGCAGGCATAACGACTGAGACATAAGAGGGATATTATTGTAATTTTAGGTTTCATCAAAATTAGAATAAGTTTCCTTCTTTTATGGTGTGCATATGACTTTGCTTGCTTCTTCATACACATTCAAGAATACAATTATGGTTGGTTGCAATTGCAAAATTTTAGAGAAAATGTAAAGATCAACTCTTTCCTTCTTTGCACTTTTGAATTTTTCTCTTGTATCTTTTGGGTAATGACTTGTAAATCTTAGTCTTTCATTATTAATCTTTGTGGGTATGTTTGTAGGGTAGTGTCCTCTCTGTTGGATTATGTGTCTTTGATGTGACATGACATGACACTGATATTATACGAATATCATTTAAAGTAGAATAAAATGAATGACATGATACATTGATATTATGCGAATATCATTTGAACCATAAGGTAGATTAAGCTAAATGACATGACACATTGATATTATGCGAATATCTCATAAGGTAGAATAAATTGAACGGACAATCAGTAAGTAGACAAGCCAAATGAGATTTGGTCACACTCATTGTAATACTAGTATATTGCTAGTGTTATAATATAAGTTAAAATCTATAAAAACAATTCATATAGTGTTGAGAAGTTATATCTTGAAGCATTCTTGGCTATGGTGGGGTTGAATTCTTTGGATTGCATGGATGAAAGTAGCTCCTCTCTAATCTGTATCAACACAAGAACGTGTTGGATGCTAGTAAGTGGGTGCTAGCCATGGAGTATGTTTATTCAACAACCATTATTGAAGGAAAATACAAACTCACTTAATATGTCTTGGATATGATTAAGGACCATCTGTTTGTCTGTTTGCAAGATCCTTGTGAGACAGTTATCATGGACTCATGGTGACTAAAAGATGGCCAAATAACTTGTATTTTGGAATATGGTATAAAAAATCTAACATTTTGTTATTAGGGAATCACAAAATATGAACTTATTTCTTTATAAGCAACTTTTGAGATAGTTATAAAAAATGACCATTCTGTCGAAAATAAAAATTGATGCATTTCAGAATAGATCAAATTTGTGTTGTACTAAATTTAAGTCGCATCAAAAGTATATATTCTTTTTTTGAAAACGATAAACTTCAGATTTGAACTTAGGTTTAAGCATTACCCACAAATAATACCTATTTCGAAAGTTCAAGGAACATGTTTGAAATCCAAACAATTTTAGAATTTTGAGAAAATACTTTATTTTTTAATTAAAATCTAACAAATTAGAAAAAAAAAATAATAACAAAAGCGAAATAGATACGATACAAGAGTATGAAAGAAGTCATTGAGTTGAAAATCATTATACATTACTGATTTTATGGGCGGATAGAGTTTTTCAAATATGTTTGGTACATATAAGAGAAAAAGATACACTATGAATTTTTTGAGAACGATTGAAATGAATACTCTAGCAAGAAGCTAGAGAAACTATAAATTACAAAGTTACTTTACATAACCAACTATCCCAAAGCATTTTACACTTTTTTCGCCTGTTAGAAATCCAAAAGAAGGAATTAGAAACTATATCATCAAAAATAATATCTTTTTGAGGTTTATTCATTCCAAAAATGAGCTTGTTTATGTAATTCCACACAATCCAAAAAGTCATAATGACCACTGCATCAAACAACTTTTATTAGACTACAACAACGAGCTCCTATCAGCCCAAACTATAAGGCTCTCAACCGACAACGAAATAAGGATGTCAACCTCCCACCACATAGCAATCCGTCTCCACACCATAACAAGCAGCGAACAACTAGCAAACAATTGCTCTAAAGATTCACTAATCTGGGAACACACCGTGAAAATCAATGAATCCAAGTCTATACCTTTGTCTCTAAGATTTAAATGCATTGGAATCCTATTACTACCTATCCGTGAAATAAGAATGTTAAGTTTAATCGGTACTAAAAAGTTCCACCTGGTATGAGGACTTGGAGAGACCAAAAAATAGTAATCCAAAAAATGACGCACAAAAGAAACTGCAAACTTTTCTGTCACTCTCAGATAAGACGATATCACTCACGAGACAAGGTGAAAAGATGTAATTCACCATGAAATTCCTCCCATTAAGCTAACCAAAGACCTCATTTTGGCATTCTCGAACATGCCATCAACAACTTGAATTCCAAATTTCGATCAAAAACCAAGGCTTGAGTTGGGATCCGATGCAAACAATCTATGAAACCGGTCCTTCAAAGGTTGAATTCCCGTCCACACATCAAACTAAAATTTCGTATGTTGCCCATTTCCCACATTAATCTTACACAAACCCTTCAAATCAACACCACGACTATCAACTTGGTCAATCGCACGAGAAATTGAAATCCAAATGCTATGACCTCCACTCCTTGTGAAAAACTGAGAACCACCCCATGCATAACGTGAATAACCCGAACCCAAAGGCTATCGTGTTGCTCAAAATAACACCAAATCCACTTAAAAGTTAGAGATCTACTAAGAGAATACAAAGCGCTCACACCCATGCCTCCTTTTGTAACAACACGAATTTGTTTCCGTCTACGATGTTAATTTCCTTTAGTTGAATATTTATTTTAATAGGATTATTTGGGTTTTAAGGTTATATAATGAAATAAATTAAATAAAAATGATGTTATTTAATATCTAAAAAGAATTATGCAATAACTAAGAAGAAATAATTCAAATTTAATGGCTTTGTGGAAAAATAGAATATATATATATATATATATATATATATATATATATATATATATATATATATAAAGTTTATGAATGATGTAGAGGGGTTAAATGTTAATAAAACAAACTTAAATTGTTATGTTATCTAGGGTTGGGGGGTAGGGAGTGTGCAAAGTCGAAATTTAAGGGATTTGTTTCCAAAATCGTACATAACCCAACCCCCCCCCCCCCCCCATGAACTTGGATCCACGAGATTAAGGCTTGAAGGTTGTTCGTTTCTTTTCCTTCTGCTAAAAAAGAACGCATCAAATCAGTTATTAGGCCTACTCCTATTGTTGTCGATCGTGTAGCAAGCAAGAAAGAAGTAAAGTCAAACATGAGTACGTTTGAGAGCAGCACACACAGGAGGGAGAATTGAGATTCTTGGGGCTGAATTTTATCTGAATCAAGTATCATGCTTATGTTCTCAACCCATATAGTCTTGAATCAGCCCTAGGCAACCACGAAGGTCGCCATTCGAAGCCTCTAGGCCGTCGGAAAAGCACCACAATGTCGCCTTGGCTTGGTGGTTCTGGTGTAGTCGAGTTTTAGCCTATCAGGGTGTGTTCCTGTGATGTTTTTTTTGAATAACTTTTCTGTTAATGCATATTTGGAGTCTCTCTCGTTAGATTTTCAAGGTAATAAATGCACTTGGATATTCTGAGAATTGTGATTCCACTTTCAAATCAAAGTATTTGGATAAGACTCATAAGAGATTCAGTTAAGAGAATTTAATGTATCAATTTCGTGAGGACCAAAAATTGGTTAAATATCTCCCTTGTCTGAAAACTGTCAAAACTATCATAAAACAGTTTTCCAACAGTAAAAAACTGTCATAAATACGGGTTTTCTATATGGATTAATGCAAAACCAAAAACGGATCAAATATTAAAATTTTGGATTTCGACCCCAAGCCAGGGGCTCTGCCCCTCGGACCCCTCTCCCAGGGGCGCTGCCCCTAGACCCCCGTTCGTTCAGGGGCTTCGCCCCTAAATGACAGTCTACTTTTAATCTTGAGTAAACTTAAACAAGTGTGCACTCCGCACCTTCCTTACTTGTTTAATATTCATCGAGAATGATTTTTGGTCAACAAGTCAACCCATTACACTTAAATACAATTAGTGAAACAAATCACCAACAAACCTCCTCCATTTAAGTGTAATCTTGATTAAATTAAAACAAAAAACATAACAACAAACTGATGCATAAATGAAATATCGTGATGATTGAATTTCACATTAGTATATTACTCATTCTAAATATTCAAATATCAAGGTGTCACTAAGGATTGAACCCTTTCTATTCTAAGTGAATACATTAAGATAGTATACACAATAATTTACATTCTCAAAGTTCTAACTTGACACTATATTTTACTAGCTTGTGTCCCATCCTTCAATAAGCATATCAAAGTCAAGTCCCAACTTCTTGAAGCAACTAAACTTCATGCTTATATAGGTAGTTCTTTTGTTCTTGCACCTGCAAATGCAATTTTTCAAAGAACTATTAAGAAATTAAATTTCAACCTCCTTAACTTGCAGTACTGAACACATACCTTGGGATGATGATAATAATGTGTTCCAATCTTTAAATATCAAGCTTCTACATTGAATTCAACATCTAATATTGCATTAGATGGGAATTGGGTATCTTAATATAAAAGATTTTAGATGGACTTTAAACCCATCCCTACAGCCGCCTTGTTCACAAGATCTCTAGCTAACCCTTTGGTTAAATGGTCGGCTAAGTTCAACTGAGTTCTCATAAACTCCACAAGATATCACACCAGTCATGATGAGCTCACGAATCATGCTATGTCTAACAGCTAAATGTCTAGACTTCCCATTATACACTTGACTATAAGCCTTAGCCAAGGTTGCAACACTATCACACCTGATAGAAATGGTAGATATCGGTTTTGGCCATAGTGGAATTTCATAAATCAAATTCCTTAGCCACTCAGCTTCTTTACTAGCAGCAGACAATGCAACAAACTCAGATTCCATGGTTGAGTTAGTAATACAAGTCTGTTTCTTGGATGCCCAAGAAATGGCACCTCCTCCAAGAAGAAACACCCAACCACTAGTAGAAGAGTGATCCTCTAAGTTGTTAATCCAGTTGGCATCAGAATAACCTTCCAAAACAGAAGGATGTCCACTAAAAGTTAAACCATAGTTAATGGTCCCTTTCAGGTACTTAAATACTCTACTCACAGCTTGCCAATGATGTGTACTAGGATTACTCGTATATCTACTAAGCCTTCCTACAACATATGCTATATCAGGCCTAGTACTGATCATGACATACATTAGAAAACCATTAGCTCTTGAATATTCAAGTTGAGACACTAGAGATCCTTTATTAGGTAGAAGCTTGATACTAGGATCTATAGGACTGCTAACAGGAGAACAATTCTCAAAGTTAAACTTTTTCAATATCTTCTCAATGTAATGAGATTGATAAATTGAAATCTTATTGTTTCCTTGTTTAATTCTTAAAACAAGAATTACCTCAGCCTCCCCC